GGAAGCCCTGGCCCTTGAGCGCTCCAGCTGGAGGTCAGCTGTGACCAGCAGTGCTGCAGAATTTGAAGAGGCATGAATGGAGGGCGAAAGGAAGAAACGTGTCAAGAGGAAGGCGCATCAAGCCAACCCCGACCGAGACCGCCTTCCACCTGGAAACCAATGCTCTCACTGCGGAAGAAGTTGCAGAGCAAGAATAGGGCTCCAAAGCCACATACGGACCCACAAGAATACTGGAAGACAATCCTCCTCGGAAAACGAGGGGTCGCCTAAGTAAGTAAAACAATAAAATTAAAAAACTATGTCTTCTTGTTAAATTCCTCAACCATTCCATCGTCTTGGCCATTCCTACTTCATGTTCCAATTTGAGTTTATCTGATCAAGCTGAAATTCAAAATGCTTGCTCAAAGAGCCAGGTTTTCACTCTTTTTCAAAAGGTCAGGAGGAAGGGGGCCGATCTAATATCTCTAGGCAGGGAGTTCCACCGCTGAGGGGCCACCACAGAGAAGTCCCTGTCTCTTGTCCCTGCCAAACGTGCCTGAAACATTTGACTGCACTAGAAATATTTGACTGCACTAGAAATATTTGACTGCACTAGAAGATCCACAATATCTGCACTGGAACTTGAATCTTGTGGATTACTGCAGCACCTTTATTCTGGAAAAAAACATGTTTGACTTTCTTGAAACATGTCTGTTCTTTCCGCTTGCCTTTGCTCCTTTGGGGATCCAGTGATGGCATATTTGCAAGTGTGGAGCTGTTCTGCTTCTTTGCGTTGGTACAAAATCTTTGCATGCATTTAAAATGTATTTTAATTGAAATTGTAATTGATTTTTGAGAGAGAGAGAGAGAGAGAGAGAGAGAGAGAAAATTAATTCAAACACACCATGCATCATGAAATATAGAAGCTTATATGGGATTTTAAGGAGGTAGATCCACATAAAAATTCTCAGAACACATGAATCCCACATGAATCCCACAAAACTAACGGTCTGTTTCTTACATTCCACTCCTGCTGTCCAAATAGCTAATAGCCATTTTGTTCCAAAATGTTACCTTTCAGTAATTTTGTTGCATAATTGAAGTGTAGACAAATGGACAGGTCTGGTGTTATCTGGTGACTGTCATGGCTATGAAAGCACTACTCAGGTTTCTCTAGTCATACAGTGATACCTTAATCAGAAGTCCAGACCACATTGGACAGCTACAGGATTAAGTTGTTGCACTCCAGAACAGGGATAACTCTCTTGACTGCAAAACACCACACGTTGAGTAGGGAAAACAGTATTTTTATTGAAGATAAGTAAAAGCAGCAAAGTAAAAAAAAGCACTTTAAAGGGATAGATAAATCCAATTAGGTAAAAAGATAAGCAAGAACAAATTAGTCCAAGGTAGAGTTCAGGAATGTCCAAAAGCAAAGTCCACAAGTCTCTAACAAAATCCAAAGAACCAGAAAACGTTGATCCAAGGCATGAGCAGGTAATCACAAGAGACAAAAAAACAAAACCTCGTTTACATCATTCCCCACATCCAAAGCACCCTGATCCTAAAGTGCCTGGTCTAGGGGATCCTGGGATCTGTAGTCCAGAAGAGAGTGTGGATATGCTGTTTTTTTTTACCGGAGAAGTCATTTTTGCACATGCGCTGTAGCATCGTTTTTGTGTTTTTGGCTTCTTAAGCCACCTTTGCTGTGTTTTTCAGTGTTTTATGAGTGATGGTCACTCATTGGCTTGATAGGTGTATTGTGTCCAAATTTGGTGTCAATCCGTTCCGTGTTTCTTGAGTTATGTTAATCCCAATGTTGGGGCAGTGAATTGTTGCCAATTTGTGAACCACTCCGAGTCGCCTCTGGGCTGAGAGGGGCGGTATATAAATATAGTTAGTAAATAAATAACATTACATTTTATAGATAACTATTACAGGAGTTTTAGCATACTAGTTCCTATTTGTCTGTGTATTTTTGTTTTTGTCTTTTATTGTATGTACATTCAGTGGACGAATCAATAAACAGATCTATCTACTAGGGCTGGGCGGTTTCGTTCGTTAATTTCGTAATTCGTTATTAATTCGATATTTTTTTTATAACGAAGCGATATTGAACCATTCAGGAGCAACTAAAAATCGAAACAAATTTTTCAATTCGTTTCGTAATTGTTTCGTAATTATTTCGAAATCGTTTTGAAATCGTTTCGTTATTATTTCCGCATGTCTGGTGTAGTTTTATGGTTGTTGTTTGTTTTATCAGTGAAAAAAATATATAATTATCACACCAACAGTCAACAACAGAGGGAGAGGGAAGCTTCAGAAGTTCCCCCTGTCCCATTTGGAGGTTTTTTTAGCGTATTGCGCGGTCGCGTCCGCCATTAACGAATCGATTTGTAATTGTTTCGTAATTGTTTCGTAATTTCCTAAATTTTGTAAATTTTGATTTTTTTAAAAGAAACATTTCGGAATTCTTTTAAAAATCGAAACGCAAAAACCCCCTAAAAACGAATTGAGTTTAGAAACAATTTTTTCCGTGGTTGCCCAGCCCTACTATCTACCTATCTGTAGGATTTTGCAAAGGGTTCGGTGAAGCAGCAGAATGAGTGCACAATTCAGAATTGGCTGGAATGGAGTGAATGTAATGAACAGGCTAACAAATGGAAATTTACCTAGACGAAAAAGTTACTACGTGTGTTTCTCTGCTCTACTTTGTGATGTTGGACTATTTTAGAGGGGACACCCTCCCCCCTTTAAAGGATTTATTTCATAGTTTTGAAGTGTTTGTGGATCCAGCTTTTCTTAAAATCATCTAAACATAATATTTTTGATCTTATTTGGATAAAATGTCTTGGTAATTGCTTTTTTTTAACTTACATAATGTACTGTGTTGCAGTAAGTCATAGCAGGACCAAGGGTGCATGTGAAGATAAACCTTGTGGTGTTAATTATCTTACACAGCTGGGAAAGTAGGTCAACCAGCAAGATTGAACCACAACCAATGGTGTCTATCTGTATGTGTTTTTACAGTGTGGATATAGGTGGTTGTTGGTAGGTGTGAGTAGTGGAGAGCTGGTGGATGCTGGAAAAGCTACTCAAAAGGAGGCTATGGTGAAATAGCTATTTATCTAAGGTTTATTTTAGGGCATATGCATTTGTTAAAGTTATAGGTGAGCCAAAATTTGAGGACAAGATTTATTTATTTATCGTGTCATCAGCAACCATACCATTGTATTACATTTCTAACAGAACAAAACAAACAAACAGATAAAAAAACACAGATTTTGCAAACTTGGTAGTTGATTAAATGTCCTTTGACCAGTATCTGGGCACTTGGAGTGCCTCTGGTGTTGCCGCAAGAAGGTCCTCCATTGTGCATGTGGCAGGGCTCAGGTTGCATTGCAGCAGGTGGTCAGTGGTTTGCTCTTCTCCACACTCGCATGTCGTGGATTCCACTTTGTAGCCCCATTTATTAAGATTGGCTCTGCATCTCGTGGTGCCAGAGCACAGTCTGTTCAGCGCCTTCCAAGTCGCCCAGTCTTCTGTGTGCCCAGGAGGGAGTCTCTCATCTGGTATCACCCATGGATTGAGGTTCTGGGTTTGAGCCTGCCACTTTTGGACACTCGCTTGCTGAGGTGTTCCAGCGAGTGTCTCTGTAGATCTTAGAAAACTATTTCTTGATTTAAGTTGTTGACATGCTGGCTGATACCCAAACAGGGATGAGCTGGAGATGTCTCTGCCTTGGTCCTTTCACTATTGGCTGCTACTTCCCGGCGGATGTCAGGTGGTGCAATACCGGCTAAACAGTGTAATTTCTCCAGTGGTGTAGGGCGCAGACACCCCGTGATAATGCGGCATGTCTCATTAAGAGCCACATCCACTGTTTTAGCGTGGTGAGATGTGTTCCACACTGGGCATGCATACTCAGCAGCAGAGTAGCATAGCGCAAGGGCAGATGTCTTCACTGTGTCTGGTTGTGATCCCCAGGTTGTGCCAGTCAGCTTTCGTATGATATTGTTTCTAGCGCCCACTTTTTGCTTGATGTTCAGGCAGTGCTTCTTGTAGGTCAGAGCATGGTCCAGGGTAACACTCAGGTATTTGGGTGTGCTGCAATGCTCCAGTGGGATTCCTTCCCAGGTAAACCTCAGAGCTCGGGATGCTTGTCTGTTCTTAAGGTGAAAGCAGGTTGAGCCGCCAACCCATTACGCAAAGTAAGCATTCGCAGTATAGTTGCTTTTGCCCAGGGGCGCTCTTGAGGCTCTGTTGGGGAAAAATAGACCTTGACATATGTGAGTTGTAGTTACTGGGATGTATAGTTCACCTACAATCAAAGAGCATTCTGAACTCCACCGATGATGGAATTGAACCAAATATGGCACACAGAACTCCCACGATGAACAGAAAATATATATCAGTGATTGGTTTGGGGGGAGAGCAAAATACTGCTTGCTTACCATTGAAAATTACCTAGGGCCACTTCTGGATGAAAGGGACATGTCTGTGTTTTAGATGGATTAGGGATCAGTTGGTTTTCCCTGTAATAGGCAGTAAGAGCACCTAGAGCTTCTGTTCAACCATCTCAAAGCTCCCTGCTTGAGCAGTAATGGCATGGTCATCAGCAATAAGATCAGCATAAGAAATAAGATGAGTGAATATTAGATAGAATATGTATATTCCTTCATATGCAGGTGGGAATACATACACTTTGTATTGTACCAAAATGCTTACAAATTAATGACATGAAAGTTAAATTAGGGAGTTTAGACAGAGAAGGCAAGAATATCAATGACTGAGAACCAGGAATTGTAGCAAGTCAATTCTTATAAATATGTGAATATGATCACAAGAGTTACTGTCTAGCAGGAGTGCATCAACCCATGACTATACTACATAACAGTAGACGCTCCACAGGACCTTCATCAAAATTTGAAGTCATGGAGAGACAACACAGAAAATAATATGGCAACAAAGGGGTAGGCTTCACACACCCTTATCTCTCCTCTTTCTATTTTGTTTCCTAGACAACTACTACGGTACTCCAAAGCCTCCAGCAGAGCCAACCCCATTACTTTTAAATGTAACGGACCAGATACTCCCAGGTGCCACACCCAGCGCAGAAGGCAAACGCAAAAGGAATAAATCAGTGAGCAATATGGAGAAGACTGGAATAGAGCCTCCAGAGGAAGAGGAGGAAGAAAGACCTGTAGTCAATGGGAATGGCATGGCAATAACACCAGGTCAGTGCTCTTGTATGGATTAGATCCTCTTTCACATCCCCTCCATCCCCTGGTTATTTTGGGCATGTGTTGGAAACAACTGTCTCTGTGATTAATGGATGAAACTAGATGTTTTAGCAACGGCATGGTAGGCACTGAAACCAGCAAGCACCCAATTTCAATTTCTGATAAAGCTTATTGTGCGGCAGGGAGGAATTCCATGTACAGTATATATGAGGGGTATTTTTTAAGTAAGGTCCATTTGAACATAAGTACACAACAAAAGTTTATTTCAAAAAAGTAAATTTATTTTCAGAAAGTACATACTTCACTCTATTTTTTGACATAGTTGCCAAGTTTGTTCAAACACTTATCATACCTCTGAACCAATTTTAAAATACCCTCTTCATAAAAACTTGCCGCCTGCTCCGATAACCAAGAGTTCACTGTAATCAAAGAAGGGCGAACGGAGCGGTCCTCATCATGGACGTTGTCACGGCCATCTTTGAATTGTCGTACCCACTTACGCACTTTGCTTTCACTCATAACAGTATCACCGTACACTTCACAAATCTGTCGATGAATTTCTGCAGCAGGCAGGTTCCTTGCTGACAAAAACTATCACTGAGCGAACTTCACATGCGGTGGGTGAGTTGATAGTCTTAAACATTTTTAAAGCACAGAACAGAACCGTACAGGTTAGCTACAGAGCGGAAACTGAGCACAGTTGTTCCCGAGGCATGCCGGTACACGACGCACGTGCTCGTTGCGGTATGCGTGCGAACTACTAGTATCTACAACAAAACGGACCTTACTTAAAAAATACCCCTCATATAATAAATAATAAAACTTTATTTATATACCACTCTATCTCCCCCAGGGGGACTTAGGGTGGTTTCCAAGTAACATCACCAAAACATACAAAGTAAGCAGCATAACATAAAATTAACAAAACAGCATAAGCATAAAATTATCACAATGACACATGTATATTAAAAATAACCCTGCCTGTTCAGAGCAATTAAAGGCCGGGCCAAGGCTTGTGCAAACTCAAAATATGAGGGGACCGGGAATTAAGTACAGTGCTATAACAGGCTAACAGCAATAGCAGGTACGGGTCTGTGGCTGCTTATTTCCAGGGCCTATTAGAGGAATGACCGGGGTAATAGGTAAGAGTGCAAGGCCATATTCAACAATGTTTGGGTTGGACTAGAACTGGTCATTCTCAAAGGCTTGTTGAAACCACCAGATCTTCAAGCTCTTATGAAAGGAGGGAAGGGATGGGGTCCCTCCTTTCATAAGAAATATTTATTACGGTCAATGACCGTAATTATATTCAATTTTGTTTTTGTTTCCTGGAAACAGCACACTTTTAATAAGTAGTATTATTTTGTGATGTTTAAAATACTGTACCCTTTTCTTTGGGTTTTTTTTTTTTTTGAGTGCATGGTTCTTTAGTAACATCTTGGCTCAATCTTACATGAGATGAGGTCATTCTATTTGCTTTACATTTGCTAATGTATAATAAGAGTACTTACCTCTCTTTTCACTCTAATGCTTAAATTGCTTCAATAGCTCTGGCTCCATTCACATGTTCTCTCCAAAAGGGGAATGAAATGTACGTGATGACCTCAGGGAAATGCTTCCATTCACCATCATTTTGAAAAAGCAAAGAGGTACAACACTTTCAAAGTCTGATACTTGTCAACCCTATACAACATTTAGAATAGGGATGGAATAAATGTAATCAGCTCCTATTAGCCCTATCCAACATAGGGGTCTGGGGGGAGGGACACTTTTGCTCATCCTGACTTAAAAGCACAATTTATATGGTGCTTGGAAATTATGTCATAATACCTGAAACATGTTGCAGAAAAGCATCTATTTCTGTTTTGTTGACTATTCTAAAGCCTTTGACTGTGTGGACCATAATAAATTGTGGCAAGTTCTTGGTGGGATGGGCATACCAAATCACCTTGTCTCTCTCCTGAGGACCCTGTATAAGGACCAAGTAGCAACAGTAAGAACAGACCATGGAACAACAAACTCTACTAGTCATTTCCACCTAATTCCAAGGAGGCCCCTGGAGTGTTGGACAAGTGCCAGGCCGCTGTGTCTATCTGGATGAGGAAGAACAAGCTGAAGATCAATCCCGACAAGACAGAGGTCCTCCTGGTCAATCGTAAACTGGATTGAGGTATAGGATGGCAACCTGTGCTGGACGGGGTTACACTCCCCCTGAAGTCACAGGTCCGCAGCTTGGGAGTCCTCTTGGATTCATCACTTACGCTTGAGGCTCAGGCGTCGGCGGTGTCCGGGAGGGCTTTTGCACAATTGAGACTCGTGCGCCAGCTGTGACCGTACCTCGCAAAGGTTGATTTGGCCGGGTGTGGTCCATGCCTTGGTCACCTCTAGATTGGATTACTGTAATGCGCTCTACGTGGGGCTGCCCTTGAAAACGGCTCGGAAATTCCAACTGGTTCAACGGGCGGCAGCCAGGATGTTAACTGGCGCTCCTTATAGAGAGAGGTCAACCCTCCTGTTTAAGGAGCTCCATTGGCTGCCATTTACCTACCGAGCCCAATTCAAGGTGCAGGTGCTTACCTACAAAGCCCTAAACGGTTTGGGACCTGCCTACCTGCGTGACCGCATCTCCATCTATGAACCCACGCGCTCCCTTCGTTCATCTGGAGAGGCCCTGCTTGCGATCCCACCTGCGTCGCAGGCGCGTTTTGTGGGGACGAGGGACAGGGCCTTTTCTGTGGTTGCCCCCCGACTTTGGAACACCCTCCCCAAAGACATTAGACTAGCACCCACGTTGGCAGTCTTTAGGAAGAACTTGAAGACCTGGCTATTCCGATGTGCCTTTCCAGAATAGGATAACCCCTAGCACTATGTCCCAGAAGCACTTTACTAGAGTTTAAGACTCTCTGCACATTGCACTTGCCCAGAATTCCAACATACCACCTCTCACACCCAGCACTTTTTAATCTGTACCCATCATTGGCCCGGCCCTGGTTTTATTGCGTAATAGTGTAATGTTTTTGTTATTGCTTATGCTTTTAATTTGCTTTGTATCGTATTGTTATTGTCTGTTGTTGTTGTGTTGAGGCCTTGGCCTTTGTAAGCCGCATCGAGTCCTTCGGGTGATGCTAGCGGGGTACAAATAAAGTTTAATAATAATAATTATTATTATTATTATTCAAGATTGGGAAAGGCGTATGGCAGGGTTGTATACTCTCACCTAACCTATTCAACTTGTATGCAGAACACATGTGGGGCTTGATGAATGCAAGGCTAGGGTGAAAATTGCTTGAAGAAACATTAACAACCTTAGATATGCCAATGATACCACTTTAATGGCCGAAAGCCAGAAGGAGCTGAGGAACCTTCTAATCAAGGTGAAAGAAGAAAGTGCAAAATCTGGGTTGCAGTTAAACATAAAAAACCAAGATTCTGGCAACTGGACTGATTGATAACTGGCAAATAGAGGGAGAAAATGTGGAGGCAGTGACAGACTTTGTATTTCTAGGTGCAAGATTACTGCAGACGCGCCTGCAGCCAGGAATCAGAAGACGTTTACTTCTTGGGAGGAGAGCAATGACCAATCTCGATAAAATACTGAAGAGTAGAGACATCACACTGGCAACGAAGATCCGCATAGTTAAAGCAATGGTATTCCCTGTAGTAACCTATGGATGTGAGAGCTGGACCATAAGGAAGGCTGAGCGAAGGAAGATAGATGCTTTTGAACTGTGTTGTTTGTTCTGGTACGGCTGTACCAGGAGCTCCAATTTTGTTTGCTTTGCATTGAATGTTTGTTTGCAGTCCTGGGTTTCAGGGACTCTGCAGATAGGTGGCTTCTTTTGGTTGCAGTTATAGGGCAAGCCACCTGTCCATCATCATTAAGTTTTGGTCCCGCCCCTTGCTCAGGGCAATTGGGAAGGGAAGGGAGCCATTTTTAGTTAGTCTCAGCTAGGTTAGCCAATGTACAGGACGTGTGTAAACGTCCCCTGTACAAAAGCTTCAACCTTTAAGAATTTCCAGGGTTACAGAAATTCCAACAGAAACAGAAGGAAAAGAGTCTCCAAAGACTTTCCAGGGAAACAGCCCTAAAGATCAAAGAACTCCAGCTGAAGAGACTACAGGCCTTGCTGGTAGGTCCACTCGGTGCTTTGAGACGCAGTTCAACCCGGTAGTGGTGCCCACATCAGTTAGGTTTAAGTTTCAGTCAGCCTGGGAGAAGTTAAAAAGGGGATTTTCCTTTAAAGAAGAAGTTATTGAAGATAGTTGCCTGTCCTTCGTGGGCAAGTTTAGGAATTCACCAGTTGCCCAAAAGCTTGGAATCATTTACTTAACTTTACTGAAGACAAGAGAAGTTTCTGTTTGATTGTTCATTAATAAAAGACTTTGTTGTACTTCTCAAGCCATCTAAAGACTGTTTGTGGTGGAAACCTCTGAGAACTTCTCTTTAGGCCCCCTGGCTTCCCGTTGGGCAAAGGTTGCATGTCCTGTTTTAAAGACAACTATTTACAGGCCCAGCGCGCGACAGAACAATGTTGGAGGAAAGTTTTGAGAGTGGCTTGGACTGCGAGAAGATCCAACCAGTCCATACTTCATGAAATAAAGCCCAACTGCTCATTGGAGGGAAGGCTTTCATGGCTGGAATCACTAGGTTCTTGTGGGTTTTTTCGGGCTATAGGGCCATGTTCTAGAGGCATTTCGCCTGACGTTTCGCCTGCATCTATGGCAAGCATCCTCAGAGGTAGTGAGGTCTGTTGGAATTAGGACAATGGGTTTATATATCTGTGGAATGGCTGGGGTGGGGCAAAGAGCTCTTCTCTGCTGGAGCTAGGTGTGAATGTTTCAACTGACCACCTTCATTAGCAGTTGAAGGCCTGGCTGAGCCTGGGAAAATCTTTTGTTGAGAGGTGTTAAGATGTGCCTGGTTGTTTCCTCTCTGCTGTTTTGCTGTTGTAATTTTAGAGTTTTTTTAATACTGGTAGCCAGATTTTGTTCAT